ATTATTATTATATATATGATTTATTATTATTATTATATATATAATTTATTATTATTATATATATAATTTATTATTATTATTATATATATAATTTATTATTATTATTATATATATAATTTATTATTATTATTTTCATTAATATTTATTGCAGTTATTTTGCTGTTACCACTCCTACTGCTGATGTTATCAATATTAAGATTTTTATTGTTGCTAATATTATTATTATTATTATATATTATAGGCAGTTAGCTAGCTAGCCAGCTAGCAAGCAAGAAGTCAAGCTAGCTAGCTAGCTAGACAGGTAGCTAGCTAGCTAGTAGCACCTCTAAGCTAGCTACGAAGCATATTTGTTTGTTTGTGCAGGCAACGAGAGGTGCGACAGCATGAAGAGCTTTGGCAGAGGACATCTCGAAGAGATGGGGGCTATCAACAGAAGTCTCTCTGCTCTTATTCTCTGCATTCAGCAGCTCAACTCCGTATGCTGCTGCTGCTGCTGCTGCTGTTGCTGCTGCTGCTGCTGCTGTTGCTGATGTTCCTGTTGCTGCTGCTGCTGTTGCTGATGTTGCTGTTGCTGCTGTCTCTACTCGTGGTGCTTCTCTTGCTGCTGCTGCTGCTACTGCTGCTAAAGCTGTTGCTGCTGTTGCATCTACTGGTCCTGCTTCTGTTGCTGGTCTTTCTGCTGCTGAAGCTGCTGCTGCTGCTGCTGCTGCTGCTGCTTCTCTTTCTCTCTCCCTGTTGCTGTTTTCCTATCTCTTTTTTCTGTTAGCTTCATCTTCTGTTTCACTCTCCCGCAGCTTTCAGAGAGACGAAGGCGCTGTTTAGCCAGCCCTATTTATATGTATCTAGCTAGCTAGCTAGCTAGCTAGCTAGTTAGCTAGTTAGGAGAGTATATTATAAGTATGTAGATATATAATATATGCGCTTGTGTCTATTGCTGCAGGAAGGGTCTTCTGTCTCCTTTCGCTCGTCTGCATTAACGCGTTTGCTGCAGGAGTCGCTGGGGGGAGGCTGCTTTACAACATTTATTTGCACTGTCTCTCCTTCATCTTTATGCATTCGAGAGACCTTGGCTACGCTGAGACTTGCTGTTAGAGCTAAAGCTGTTAGACTGTATGCTAAGCCTAACAAACTTACTGATATGCCTGGTGTATTGCAAGCATTAAAGAAAGAAGTTAGGGTTTTAAGAGAAATGTTAGAGCAAAACCCACATCAGCAGCAGCAGCAGCAGCATCAGCAGCACCAGCAGCAGTTGCAGCATCACCTGCGCAGACTTCAGCAGCAACGACATAAACAACAAGACAGGAATCGAACGGAAGAAGAGACAGACACCAGAGACAGCCCATCTGCTCCCCACACAGCAGCAGCAGCAGCAGCAGCAGCAGCAGCAGCAATGGCAGCAGACAGTTCGCAGCGACACTGCTGCGCTGCAGCAGCATCTGGCTGCTTGATGCGTCGCTCTCTCTCCTGTCCTTCAGGAGAGCTTCTTCACTCGAGATATAGAGATAAAAATGTATTTTTCATGCTGCAGCAAACAGCACCACAGAGATGTACAGCATGCGGAGAGAGAGCAGCAGCTATTACCTGCCTAGACACCGCAGCACCAGCACCAGCAGCACCACCAGCAGCAGCAGCACCAGCAGTAGCAACAACAGCAGCAGCACCCGCAGCGCCTGCCAGTCCTTCAAACACTGCTCAGCAACTTATCGTTGCTGCTGCTGCGCAACAGCAGCAGCAGCAACAGCAACAGCAACAGCAGCAAGATTTGTCTTTAAAGGAAGACTCTCCCGTCTGGGGGTCTCAGCAGCCGATCGAAAACAGCAGCAAAAACACTTGGGAGCCTCAAAGGGGTGAACGCGATGCAGCAACTGCAGCAGCAGC